TTTCACATCATATAAATATCGGAGGCATAAAGCCCAAATGTTGTGTTTATCACTTTAGGAGGTATTATCCCAAAGCTATCCTCCCACTATTAATTAATCACAATCACATATAATTTCAAATTCAATCATATATCACATGTTTGGAAAGTTTCCTTAAAGAGTATCATAGTTTCAAATGCATATCGACATATATCGCATGTGGGTGACATGTATAAATCCAGCACGAGTCAAGTATTGTGCGACCATGTCTTAAATATCGTCGGGTGGTGGTCCCCAGTGGGTCTACCTCCTTGGCGAATCATCAACACTTTATGGGTCTCCTCATTCCACACAATCTGTGAAACGTTGTCTGCGATGTCTGCGCTTCCTGAGTATATCCTATTTGTATGGTCCAGGAAGAACATACGTGGTGGGACCGGTGGGCTCAGGCTCATGCTCAGGTGCATACCGAGGTGACTCGGATGAAGAGGACTCAGCCATAATAATATGCTACAAATTTTAAAAATAATTTATCATAATTTATTTAATTTCAAATAATTAACATGTCTAATACATGAAATAAAAATTTATTAAATCAGAAATAATTTTATTTATTTATTTAATGCAAAATGACCAAGCATAAAAAAATTAGTTATGTATGTTCTAAGTCACTAATCATAACCTAGGTATGTAACCATGTTTCAAGCCACTAAGCATGTTATGAGTCACTAACTATGTCGCTAAAGTATTTCTTAGGTCACTATTCATAAAATAAGTCACTAACAATTCTCTAGGTCACTAACAATTTCCTAGATCAATATTATAACATTTCTATTGCTTTAATTTAAAAATATGAAAGAAGATATTAAGACTTAATTGACTGGTGGAGTTTCGTTGTGCAAAAAAATAAAGCAGAACTTAAAGAGAAATCTAAAGAGAAGTCTCAGGAAAATCTTAAGGGGTGTTTGGTTGAGGAGAAATTTTTTGAATACTAGGAAGATGTAATTGAAAGAGAAATGGTTGGAAAGTGAGTTTGATAGGAAAATGTAAAAAAAGTTGTTTGGTTGGAAAAAATTTAACCGGGCAAATTAGGTAAGTTTTATAAAGTCTATGCTTGATTTGAGGTAAAATATAGATGGGAAAATAAGTAAAAATTACGAAAATGTCCCTGTTTACATAAATCTACAACTTCACAATTAGTTTTCTAATACAAAATGGAAGATCACTTTGGTCACAATTTTCACTCTCAGTTTTCTACTTCCCTAGTTTTTCATAAATACCACATCTCAAGAGGTATTCTTAAACAGTGAATTTGAGCACAAAATCAACTGAAATATAGTTTCCTATGCAAACTTCTTTCCTAGACTTTTTTGTCATAAACTTGTACCAAACATAGCATTTTGGAATACCTACCCACACTTCCCCATCTATCCCAAAAGAAAACCTCAACCAAACACACCCTTAGGGGGCGTTTGGTTGAGGAATTTTTTTTTGAATACTAGGAAAATGTAATTGATAGAGAAATGGTTGGAAAATAAGTTTGGTAGGAAAATGTAAAAAAAATTGTTTGGTTGGAAAAAAATTTACTGGGCAAATTAGATAAGATTTATAAAGTCTATGTTTGGTTTGAGGTAAAATATAGATGGGAAAATAAGTGACAATTACGAAAATATCCCTGTTTTTAATTATCTTATTTTACATAGTTAAGTTTTTTTAATTAAATTTAGAAACAGTCACATATAAAGACTAAAAACATTATATTTTCATTCGACTAAATTAAAACTGAACATGATTATGAGACTCTAGTTTTGTTAAATTAATTTGAATTTATGATTTAAAATTTAACAAAATTAGAGTGTAACCTATTACCTAAGTAGGAATCTAAAAATCAAGGCGATTTAAATTATAAATAGGGAATGTTGAAAGGTTTCTCACCCTACTTCATTTATTTCATGAGCGCCAAAGTGATCAAGTATGCTTCCACCTCACCTAGAGTTTGCAATACATGGGTCTAAATCCCTCCACTTCATTGAATGCATGATCGCCATGTGTCCACCAATTTCCTCCCACTCTCTTTGGTGCATGATCGACATCTACCCAACACAAAGGACACTTTGCATTCCCTTATCCCTTTCACAGCCAGGATCGACCACATCTCATTCATGCAATCAGAAAATTCATTCTCTTCTTACTCCGAAAACCGTAGACTCACCTCTTCACTTAGTACTTTCTTTGGATCGTGGAGTTACATCTAGTTCATCACCATCACCATTCCCTCTTCTTCCTCAAAACTGAAGCTCCCATTGCTTTCCAGCTCTGCATGTTAGTATATATTGAAGCAAGTGAAGAAATCTCTCCTCTATGACTGTCATTGAAGCGTGAATGAAGTATTTTCCCTTCAGGGTTTTTAGATTATTGGTTTAACTTTAACCAACTAAGCATTCAATCAAGAGTCAACTTAGCATTTTTTTTTTTTGAAAAGTTTGTGTCCGCACTTGCAGACACTTGCCGTCGACTAGGTCCGCCATTGCATGGTGGAGTTCTTGCTAGCCTTGCAGCCTATGGTGTGATGATGAACATTGTTTCCACAGCCTTTGATCTGATGCAGGATTTTAAGACTGGCTACCTTACCTTGGCTTCACCACGTTCCATGTTTGTGAACCAAATATTTGGCACAATAATGAGTTGTGTGATTTCTCCTTGTATGGCCATGGCAATACCTTTCTACATACGGCTTTACTTTGCCATTGACATGTGTGTTGGAAGTCTGATATTATATGTGTGGGAAAAGATTAATAAGGCCAAGACTGATGCTTTTGGACTATGGACTCTACCTGCTTCAGTACTTGCTCTTGCTGGAGTTAAGCCACCAATTTGCATGAAGTTTTTGTCTAGGTACTTGCTCTTGCTTCAGTATCTGACCACACAACGAAGATAATATCATAAGGGTATTTTCGGTTGCTTTAATTTTGCATTTTGCAATTTAGACGGCTATCAACAAAAAACCATGTCCAAGATCTCTTTCTCAACAATGCCAATGCCTAGCTTTCATCGACCAAATAGGGAAATGTTATGCAAATGGCATAGATGGGCAACGTTGCCAAATCTGTCTACCAAACAAAGACAAAGTGGATTGCCAAGTTGATTTGCCTTGGGAAATTACAAGATCTCCTCAACCAAACAGCACCTTAGAGAAAAGGTTGAGGTGAAAAAGTAAAGTTGGAGTATTTATAAGGGTGCAAAGTGGAGCTTATATGGAGCAATACCTATTGTGCTTGTGTGGGGTGCGACTTAGCACAAGTTGCGCCTGATCATGTCTTTATTTGGCTCGACTGGTTCCTATAGATCCGTAAATTTGTTCTAAAATATTATATTTTTATAATTTCTTATTTAAATAATAATATTTAATTTTTTTTGCTAGTATCAATATTCTTTCGATATTAGGTCATAGAAACTTTTGACAACAAATAAAATAAAAAGGGATTGCATGGATGCATTTCATTATTTGTTGCTTTTAGCCTTTATAAAAAGAGTAAATACCCTTTTGGATCCTTAACAAAGAAACACGTTTCACACTTTAGTCCCTTAAAAAAAATAGTCTCGAGGTCCCTAAGAAATTCAAAGTGGACCCATTTTAGTCTTTTTGAGGGACTAATGTGAATCTTTTTTGAATTTGTGAGGGACCGCAATTTCAGCTAAATGGGTCCACTTTGAATTTCTTAGGAACCTCGAGACTAATTTTTTTTGTAAGAGATTAAAGTAAGAACCGTGTTTTTTGTCAAGGACCCAAAATGATATTTACTCTTATAAAAATATATCAGATTTTCTTTATGGAGAAGCACCATTATTCGTTTTTCTTTTCCCCTTCGTGATTTCATTGCGAATATGTTATATATGATTTTAATTTGCGATAAAAGTTAAATAAAGTTTCATAGATTCTGACAGTGTTGTTCTTCGATAAAAACATAATAAGTTTATGGAAAATGATCCGTTTACAAACTTTTACGACTTACAGTATCTTCTCTCGGAAGAAGATAATGTAATTTGTAAACAAAAAAGTTTGTAAATATAACATACCCCTAAATTTATTACTTTTTATATTTCAATAACGAGAATCTTAAAATATGGTAAAGAACAAAAGTATATTATACTTATTATATATTTTTTTTATAAAGATTAATGCCATATGCACTTTTGAAATTTCTCGTTTGATTCTATTCATTAAAAAAAAGATTACTTTTCAAAATAAGAAACATATTGAAAAATAATAATCTGATTAAATAAGTTCATTTAAAGGCTTTAATGTTTCTAAAATGAATATAGATAACATTCGCTTTCAAAACGACGTCGTTTCGGGTTGAAAAATTAAAAAATTATAATGAAAAAGACTATTATAACCCTGAAATAAATTATAATTACAAAAATACCTTAATTTCTGTCTCAAAACGACGTCGTTTTGGGCTCAATGTAGATAAATTATCTACATTGACCTAGAAAAAGCGAACCCTTATTTAAATAGAAAAACTAACAAAAGTAATTTAGTACTTTTTAAAAAGTTTAAAAAAGTAACATCTATAAAAATGAAAAATACTTTTCCCAAAATTTATATCAGAAAATGTTTTTATTTTTAAATAAACATTGATTCTCATATATTAAATTAAAATGCATTTACCAAAAAAAATAATAAAAATTAAAATGCATTCTCTTGTAATTTTATTTTTCTAAAATTTTAATTTTAACTGTTTGAGTTAATTATATGTTAAATGTTTTTGTCTTAATATATTCTTTTTAATTTATACTTTTTAAGTTTTATCTGATTTTTAAAAAACTTTTTACTCGTTTTCTTTAATTTTCTTGCATGGAAGTTTTCGTTTGAACAAAACAAGTGATTCAATGTATCAAAAAAAAAAAAAAAAACACAAGTGATTCAGATTTCATGAAGTGGAGTGAGTAAAAATTAAAAACAAAAAAGAGGATAGTGATCGAAGATTCCAGAACCCCCTTGGCTTGCATAAACAAAATAACAAATAGAACATAAACCCTTTGTAAAACCCTAAGAAGTGAAACCTCAGATTTATCCAGAAGAAGTTCTATTTCTACTCTTCCTTCCCTCTCGTCTCGCTGTTGAGTGCTCCAATTCCAAATGGCGAAGCGCTTGATTCCACTGTTCAATCGGGTTTTGGTGGAGAAAATCGTGCCTCCATCAAAAACCAACGCTGGCATTTTGTTACCCGAGAAATCCACCAAGGTTTATTCTTCTAATCCATTCCCATTTCAATTCCTCCTTCTGGGTCTTCGCTTTTTCATCTCAAAATTTCATCTTGCCTTCATTTTTCCAAATTTTACTTACGCCGTTTCTACTGTTTTTTTTTTTTTTTTTTTTAGTAAAAGAATTAAATAAAATCATTTCTTGGTATTCTAGGGTAATATAGGTTGTTCAAGTTTCTGTGTGTGATATCATACTTGGCTGGGTTATTTAACTGATGCATACTGTAACATGGATTGGGTGCCATTATTCTTGAATTCTTATTGTAAAGGGATATATTGAACAAATGTTCTTTGTAGAGTAGTTGTCTTAGTGTATTTGCAGTAGCTAATATATATATTTAAATTGCACTCTGGTATGATAGGCAAGGGAAAAAGAATGTGGAGATTTTGTATCTCACTGTAAGCCAGCAAAATTAAGGGTGGTAATTTATATTTAAGTGTTTGAACTTTGAATTGTTGTTTGCTAACTTTTCCACCTGTTTCTGTTTTTAGCTTCAAATGTTTAAAATTTGAGTTTTCTTGGTTCAAAGTCATTTTCCATGTTTAGTTTTTCATTTTCTTTAGGATGATAATTGATAATTTATCACTGCAATGTACATTTCGTCTTACATTGTTGCTTTGTTGATGTGCATTGGCCGAGCTTGTAATTATTTACATGTTTTGCTTTAGCTGAATTCTGGAAAAGTTGTTGCCGTTGGCCCTGGCCTTCACAGTAAGGATGGGAAGGTGATTCCTGTGGCCGTAAAGGAAGGTGACACTGTTCTTTTGCCTGAATACGGGGGAACAGAGGTGAAGCTTGAAAACAAAGAGTATGTATATGCTTTTTTATGAAATCTTTCGTTTATTAGTTGCTTTTTTTCACCCGCACACAATCCTTGAACTTGATCATTCTAAATGTCTCTGCACATGTCTGATGTGATACACGTTTTCTTTTTTGTTTTTTAAAACTTAATTGAAGTGCATTTTGTATGTCAAAAACCCCTACTGTTGCCTGAAAAGTCATAATTTATGCCCTTGTATTAATGGTCGTAAAATTTAATATGCTGGTTATAAAAAATTTAATTAGACTAGAATTTTTCTGGAGGACCTATATTTTGCCTAAATGATGCCTAGAAGATTTATTTTCTTGTTATGAAGTTGATCCCTTCATATCTAAATGCTATTGAAGACTGCTCCGTGAATCGTTAAAAAAAAGCTTGTACTTATTTAAAAAGAATATGTCAAGCTTGATATTGCATGTTAGTCTTGCTTTTGTTTGATGGTTCATATATTATGGTTTTTTTTTTTTTAATTTAAATTTATGTTATTCATTTTCATTTGATGTTTCTTTTGTCTGTGCCTAAATACAGAGCTTCAAGTCTGAAGCTGGGGGGCAAACTATCTATTTATTTAAGTTTATTTCTAGTTTCTTAGTCCTAATGAAGGAAAGCCTTTCTATCATGAACTTGCCATTTCATTTAATAAATTTTGTTGTATTGTATTACCTGATTCTCACTTACATAATGTTGAGCGATTACCTTAATTTGAAGGTTCACATGTGGGGATAATTATGAAATGTATGATTTGAATCCGACAGATATTGAAAATTAGTCTTCAAATGATGCTGTTTTGCTTGATATCGTATTCTAATTTTTTTTTGAAGAAAACACAATATTATATAGGAGGCAGTACTGAATTGAATGTTTTGTCAGCATCCCCCATTGGCCACCAAATAATTTCCTCCTATTTCTTTTGTAATCCTTCCTTTTGACAGAGTGTACACACGAAAAAGTATATAGTTGGCTATGTGATTATGGGGTAGATCAATCTATTGGCTGTTCATTTTAGCTGGAATACCTGCTGTTTCTCAAGTCATAGCTAATTAGATCAAAATGATTTTTGTGTAGGTATCATCTTTTCAGAGACGACGATATACTGGGGACACTGCATGATTGATGTCAAAATCTTGGCGGATTTGAGTCTCATGCTAGGTGTTCTGATTATTATATATGATGTCTACTATCTACATTTTATTATGGAGTGAAAAACTTCTTTGTTTCTTTTTATTCCCTTGGCTAACAATCAAGAATGCTATTTTTCTGCAACAATTGTTGAAACTTTATTGTTGTCTATGAGGAGTTCAGAAGGGCTTATATTAATTGTGGTAAACAGCAGCACCCGTTTTATAACACTACACATTTTAGATAATACTTGGAAGTGTCTTTCCTTCCAGAAATTCTTTAAGAAGCACGAGTGATCTCTCTGGCTATGCTCCTCTTATGGCAACACCTTTGTTGAAGAGCACATAGACATGAATGCCCAGTTAACAATACGTTTTGCGGTGATGATTGTATCCTTTTAAGTTATACGTTTCCACAATGTGTTTTCATACCAGAAGGGATGTGAGTAGGGGTGCGTAGCACACATAATTGCATAGTTTTCTTCTATTGAGTCTGACCCGGTATGGGCATAAAATGGCCCCTTAGTAGTCGTACTTCAACTAATGTCGTATATTTTCATGGCTTTTGCTTAGTTCAATGATTTTCTAGTCAGTTAAAAAATAAATGACCCCATTACTGGAGGCAATTCTACTCCTAATCTAATGTGAAAAAAATAAATCCGATTCATCATGTTAAGTAAATGTGTTTCTGTGATTGCATTCAAAATTGGTGCGTACACCAAATTCTAGCCAATGAGCTTGCAGGTTTGCCACTAGCCAATTCTTTACTAACCAAATTGAAGGTGTTTTTTTGAAATACTATACGAAGGTTTATTTGTATGAAAATATATATAGGATTAAGGAATTTGTTTCTGTAGAAAAAGATAAGATGACGGAATTATTATTATTATTTTTTGGTGGATAGATGAGGGAATTTGGTTCCATGGAAATGATGAAGTAAGGGGCGTTTTTATAAGTTATAGAGCTATGGCACGGAAAATTCATCTTTTTCCATAATAAATTCATGTTAAGAAAGGTTTCGGAAGAAAGATGTTTAATGAGACAACATATTTAGGTTTTATGACATAATTATTATTTAAAAGAAGTAAGTTGTGGTAATTTATTTTAGTAAGCATGTTAATTTTTATTATTACAAAATTTTTCATACTTAGTTATTGTTTAATTTATTTATTTTGTTTAATTTTAAAATATGAAAGTATTTTTCATACTTAGTTATTGTTGGAATTTGGAAAAGTTAAACTTTACGAAAAACTTTTTAAAAAAATTAAATTTACTAAATTCATCATCTCATTTAAATGTTATTTTGTTTTAGTCTTTTAGATACCAAAAACCCAGACAAAGAATTTGCTGATTTAAATTTGAGATGAAGGTAATATTCAGAATATCTATATTATTTAATTAGTATTTCATTTATGGAGTTGTGTATTTGAAACATTATTTTTCTTCGCCTGAGATACTTATGTATATAATTTTTAGATATATTATTTATTTGTAGAGAAAGGATATACTTAAAATTTATTTTTGTTTACAATCTCTTATATCCACATCTTAGTTATTAGTTTTTGTCAATTTGACGGTTATAATTTATTAAAAATTAATAATTAATTAATAAATATAACTCAATAAATTATAACTATTAGATTAACGGAAATTAATAATTAAGATGTGATTGATGGATTATAATAGGTTGTAAACGAAAATCTGTTAGAAATATTATAAGGTTTCTATAAAACCCTAATTTAATTTATAAGTATTTAACTAGTATCCATGAGTATGATAATTTAATGTAAGAATTATGATCTTGATTTCATTACAATACACACTAAGGGTGTTCGCAGTTTGGATTAGATCGGTTTTAGAAGCAAAAATTATTTGATCCAATCCTTTTAGTTTAATCATGTAATTATCCGTTCGGTTTGGATTTTTTTTCAAATTCGATCTAATCCAATCCAATTTTATTCAGTTTGGATTGGATCGATTTTTGGTTTTTCAAAAGCCTAAGATTTGTATGATGATTATTGTGCAAATAACATATCTATTGTGTGTATCAATTTTGTAAAGTTTGTATGATGATTATTGTGCAATCTAGAAGCATTATACAACAAAAAGTTGAATTACTATCTTTTACCTCTAATAAAAAATTTATAATATGGTTGCTTGATATATGAAGTAACCTAAATTTTTATCATATAGAGGAACTGTTGTACAACAATAACCCATGCAATAAAAATATATTATGTATTTTACCAAAAAAAAAGTATAACATAGATCAAACACAACCCACTTTCTCCAATATGATGGGTTAACGGGTCTTGGATTTAGAATTTTGCTATATGATTTTGGTGCTATGATTGGGGGAAGGCTCAATTAGGTAGATGATAAGGTTGAGAAATCATTGGATCGGTTTTCACCAACTAATTCAAAAATCGATCCAATCCAATTAAATTTTTCAATTTTTTTTTCGTTTTTCGATTTTTCAATTATCGATTAATTCAGTTTTCGATTTTTCGATTTAGTCACCATGGTTTGAATCGGTTGATGAACACCTCTAATACACACGTAGTAGTTCAAATATTAAGAGCATGTTTGGTGCACAATATGATAAGGACTGCTTGTGTAAGACTTGATTAAATTTTAATATTTTTTAATATTTGGCATGCTATTGTATAAGATAATGTATTGTACATAATAATATCATTCAGTGTTTAGTAATGCTCTGTATAATACTAGATAGAATAAAAATATATTTTTGATAAAATTATCCTTTAATAAAGAATTTATATAATTATTCCTAATGTATCATATAATATTAATGTTTATAAAAATCTATTGATTAGTGTGTCCAAAAATTATATTAATTTTTATAAAAATAAAAATCTCCAATATTTTAAAAATTAATATATTGAAAAATTAATCTTTATTTAATATATTAATTCTGAAGAATTGCACTGATCAACGATATTAATACATCAACTTTTTATCAGACATAATCCCAAGTTATACTTCGTTATGATGTATTTACTATTTAAGGATTCTGCTGTATAAACTTATCTTATACAATGATCATACCAAACAACTAAAAATATCATAACATATAATATAAATTTATATTATCAAATTTTATATATCACACTAAACGTCTATAGAAAATTTAGATTACGTCACTAACATTCCTATGTTAGTATTGGGGGTGTTATGCTTACTAGGACCCATAGGTGCAGCGCTAATGGGCCTGGGTATCTGAAAGGAATAGGAGAATTAAAAATGAGATACAGAGCATTTACGGGGATTAAGCTTCACTATTTTGGCAACATATGTCATTTGGCTTATTATGTTAATTTGTGATGTTTTGTGGGTGAAATCTGCAAGATTTGTGCAAAATTCATCTTTCCAAGAAAATTAGCACATTGAAGATGATGAATTTCGATCTTAAACACTTTGTAGAAGTAGTAGATTTCTCTCTTAACTTTTAATTTGGACCAAGTTAACATTCATGAGATGAGTATTTATATAGCACCGATACCGACACGGGACACGTGACATGATATGATAGGATATTCTGACACGTTAATTCTAAAAAATGTTAGATTTCGGCATGTTAAGACACGTTTTGATATTAAATAATAATTTTAATTTATCAAGTGTATGTTACATTTAATATTCAATAATTTAACCAAAAAATAAAGTTAAACTTATAATACCCATCAATTTTGCAAAGAAACATAAGATATCCTAAATATTTATATTAAACTCAATAAAATAATAATCGTAATCTAATAGTTAGAACTAAAAACACAACGCGACCTTTAAACTATTTTTTGAGTTTCTACGATGTGTGTTGGAGTATCGAAAAGTGTTGCGAAGGGATGTGCAGCAACACCCAAGGGCTCCAATCTAAAATAGCACCTGTCTCTAGGGATGGCATCGCCCCACCCCACCCCGCCATCAACCCACCAAAAAACGAGTCAGTCCGCCCCGCCTTGCCCCGCTTTTGAAAGTGGGCTGAAAAACTCAGCCCGCCCCGTCTTGTTTGACGGGTTGGCCCGCCAGCCCGAGCCTATTTTACACTGACCCGCCTCGGCCCGTCATCAACCCGTCAAAAAATGAGTCCTCTCCGCTTTTCAGATGAGTTGAAAAACTCAGCCCGCCCTAACCCGTTTAGCAGGTGGGGCTGGTTGGCCCGCCGAGCTGAGCCCATTTTGCCATCTCTGACTATCTCGACAATATGAGGGCCTAAGCGCCATGTATTCAGGGGGCCTTGGCGCCCAACGTGTGAAAAAGTAATTGCTTTTGAATTTCCTAGCGTTCAGACCATAGACGCCCAACACTTAGTATCTAAGCCCCAAAGCTAGCACTAGAGCAAACTTTGTCTCTAATAGGCGTTTGATACGAGAGAAATTTTTTTGATCGGGAAGAAAAATTGCATGAGAAAATGATGAGAAATTTTTGTTATCGGGTAAGTAACGAAAAAGTGTTTGGTAGGTCAAAATTTTGCAGAAAAACTTGAGTTGATTTTACTAAGGCATGTTTGATTGATTGTAAAAAAATGATAGGAATATTTACTGAAATTACGAAAATATCCATGAATTTGAATATTATTGAAATTGGTATTTTTCTTAGGATGTTGTTTTGCAAACGTAAAAAAGATAATTACAATGAGAATTACCTGCTTCCAACGAGAATTACAACTTAATACTAATACTTATACCAACTTTTTAATACCTGTTAATATGATAGGATTTTGTGTGTAAATATAATTACCATTTAAAAAAAAGCATTTTTGGAGGTTAACATGTAAAATAAGCTTCACGGCTAGCATATTGATGTTGAGATATTTAAGTGTGATGAGTTCCACATTGGTTGGTAATGGGCCAAATGAAGAGTATATAAGTGGAAGGGACCCATGAACCCAATGCCATAAGGTTTTGGGTTGAAACATGGTGTCGGATCCATTTGCTACGGTTGGTGTAGCCTTAGCTCATTGGTGGTGGCCCCCCGCCACAGGCTTCCCCCTGGACCTGCCTGACAGTGGTATCAGAGCCGGGTTGTGCTCGAGCTAGCCTGATGATTGGCTAGGAGGCGGGTTGAGTACTTGGGCCAGGAGTACTCGGTTGAGGGGGAGCATATCAATGTTGGATTTCACACTTGAGAGGGAGCTTGTTGGGATATTCAAGTGTGATGAGTCCCACATTGGTTGGTAATGGGCCAAGTGAATAGTATATAAGTGGAAGGGATCCATGAACCCAATGCCTTAAGGTTTTGGGTTGAGACATGGTGTCGGATCCACTTGCTACGGTTGGTGTAGCCTTATCTCATTGGTGGTGCCCCCGTCACGGGCTTCCCCTGGACCCGCCTAACAGAATGTTGGAAATCGACAATCATACGAAATCGAGAAAACAGAAAAAA